GAGCAGGCAGGGCTCAGAGCTGCTTGGTAACATAATTCTCATTTAAAGGATGAAGAAAAATGCCATGAGCTCCTTTCCCCAGCAGAACAGTAAACAACCCAAACCCATGCAACATGGCAGCAGCAAAGTTTGGGAAGATATTCAAGACTCCTTCCTGTCTGTCTCATGAGAGATGATTAAGTAGGAGTCAGAATCAGCAGCAGTGGCAAAAAGGAGACAGTGCATTTGTTTCAAGTGGAAAGACTCTGCTTTACTGCTTCAAAGAAAACTGACCACACACAAATTCCCAGTGCTCCACAACCACAACACACCACCACAGAGATTATAAAAGCTTCCTCAGAACAAGGACCACGGCACAGGACTGGGGCTTGTTTTGCATGAAGAGAAGACAGAACTGTATCAGCCCAAGACTGACCTGCAGCACGGAGTAAAATCCCTTCTGATTCAGATGTCCCATGATGTTTGCACAGATGTGGTTCATGGCAGGCCTCAGGGTTTCACCTTATGGGTTAAAGCACTAGTGTTACTAAACTGGCATCACTCTTCACTTCCTTACACACTCTAAAACAGTTCATCACCCCATAAGTCGTTCTTGCACAAAGTCCCTTATATGCAAAGCCACCATTTTAGCAGCATTTCACATCAAGTCTTAAGGTGCAAGAGTCTCATTTCCTTACAACACTCGTCCACCTTTTCTATGTGCATTTCCTATAAACCCCCAGTGCTAAGCACATTCCAGCATCCTTTGAACACTGCCCTCATGTGTGGGATTTTGAAGCATTATAAAAATGTTGTAACAACTGTTGCTGTTCTAAGGGAAACAGCCTGTCTAATCCCCAGGGAATCGTTCTGTGCTTTGTGCAAGAAGCACAATGAATCTTTGCAGCAAGCACAGGGAGAAGACAAGGTGCACAAACAGCATTTGGTAGATTTTAATAGCAAGTCCCAAATCAGTGACTTAGAAGTACTGAATTGGATGCACCAACCTTTTCCCCGAAGGATTTTCCATGTGGAAGTGTCTGTGAAGGTGACAAGCATTGTGAGGTGCAAATTGACCAGTCTGGAGTCTTGTAGGATGTCAGGCTGCCATAACAAACACCAGTGTTAACAAATTAAATGAGCTTTGGGCCAAACTACAGACCTGTGACATGCAGGGTGCAAAACACAGAGAAAATATTCCTTACCTTAAGCTGCTTGAGAAATTCACAGCAAAACCACAAAATGTCTTTGATCTGTTTGATCCACAGGAGTGTAAGATCCTTGGAGAGCGCCAGGGACACATACCACACCTGAGGAAGGCAGGATACAAATGGGAGCAACATTAGTATTTGTGCTACAGACTGACAGAAAACATTACTTTGGAAGCTTTGTAACAAAGCAACCTCCTCAGTGTCCTGCTGAACCCAGCAGCAGGACCAAGTTACTTCTCTCCCCAAAATTCACTGAAAAACCACTAAATCCCCACACATAGAATTAAGAAAACCCAAACAACCCTCCCACCCCCAACCAAACCCCATCCTGCTGACCTTGGGCTCATTCTCAGCATCCATGCTGTTAAGAATACAACGACACAGCTTCTCAAATCTCTGGGGGGAAAAAGCAAGTGGCATTAGTTCTAACTACAGGATGGGCTACTCTGGAAAAGCACAAGGAAGGGCTCAGCAGAGGGAGTCAGATACATCTGTATCAAACCAACAAATATTCCAGACACATTCCCTGCTCTTTCCCCAAGAGCACATCTGCACGTCACGCTTACAGCTACGCAGAGGAGTTCCCTCCTTGAACATGGTGCTCATCAACAGGAGGAATGCCTCAGCCACCCCTGTTAAACTGCCCCCTTCAACAGCACGGGCTGAAGCCAGGGAAAGCATCTTCCTGTTGGGGTTCAGCCACAACAACATAATGCTAATGAGTGCAGCAGTGTGTTCCAAACTCCTGACTATCACAGCTCTGGGGGGGATCACACCCCCAACTCCTTAATGATTATTTCAGTCCAACTGTATTTGCCAGATGCTCACAAGTTATAAAGCTATGCTGAGCCACAAATTTGGCTGCTGTGGTGATCTGAAGCAAGAGCAGAGTCCAGAAATAAGAGTGGGAATGAGCACGGTCTAGTCCTCAGCCCAGCAAGGACTGACTTGATGGTGGAAGGGGAAGAAGCAGCAGCAGAGCAGGAACTTTTCAGCAACACACCCAATTACTGTATGAAGAACTGCAGATGGATGCCAGGCATTAAAAGAGTTGGATAACACACACATCTCTTTTTGATGCTGTACCTACAGAAAAGTGAATCTGCAGCACTTGCCCCATCAACAGGAGTCTGAGGGAACAGAGATTAAAGAAGTCACCCACTGCAGCTGCAATTTAACTACAGCCTTTCCTTTTCCAATTGTTTGCCTTATAATTGCCCTCATCATTATTTCATAGACACTATGGCAAAGGGCTTCACTCTGAAACCACAGTTGAGGGCATGGTCAGAAAAGGAGCTGCAATACAAACAGCCAACACATTGTGCTGTGCCAGGAGAGCAATCCGTGACTGGCCACAGCGCACCTGCCTGGGGAGCTGATGCAGCTGACAAAGTCAGGAAGCTGCTCAGTTACTGAGGTTGGCACAGTCACCAGGAACAGCATCCATTAAACTACACCCTGAATAGGAAATTGCTCCTGAAAAATTCAAGGCTTCTTGTGTTTCATTCCTACAGGCAGATCTCGCCCAGAAGGACCAGGAAACAGAGATCACATTTCTGAAGCCAAAACACAACACAGGAACCTACACCATCACTAGGAAACTAATTAACCATAGTTAACATGTTAAAATGCATTCTCAAAAGAAAAGCCCATCAGAGTAGCCCCCTTACCTCTTTGTCCTCTTTGTGATTAAATACGAACAGCAGTTTCCTAGCAATTCTGAAGATGGAAAGAGCACTCCTTTTGCTCGAGCCAGATTCATTTGTCCCAAAGAAATCCTCCACTTCCCTCCTACCAAAGAGGGCAATAACGAGGATCAGAAGGTGAAAACCCAGCGCACGTCTCCAGGCAGGAGCCAAGGGAGGATCCCACACACCTTATCTCCCTCTGCAGGCGGCATCGGCAGAGGAACCTCCTGACCAGAGCCTGCAGCAGCACCGCAGCACGCTCCCGCTCCTTCAGCTCCCGCCGCTCCTCCCGGGCCTGACGCGCTTTGTCGAGGAACTGGGCTTTGGAGGACTGGCTCGCACTGAACATGTTCATCACCTGGGAGCGAGGCAGCAGAGGCTCACTGCAGCAAACACCTGGGAACAAGGAGCAGAGGCACAAAACACACAGGCAAGGGGAAGCCTTTATGTTCCTCCTGAAGGTCGACAGCACACAGCGAAGCAGGGCAAGTGGAGAACCCAGCGGCACAGAGAGCAATGTGTGCAGCGCACGGCCCGGGAAGCCACGGTTACTTGGCAATGGGACTGCAGCAACACACAGACAACGAGATCAGAAGCACTACAGCAATGCCCACAACATAATGCAGACAAGTAGGCTGAGAAAGTTGGAGCTGTTCAGCCTGGAGAAGAGAAGGCTGCGGGGAGACCTCAGAGCAGCTTCCAGTATCTGAAGGGGGCCTATAGGGATGCTGGGGAGGGACTCTTCATTAGAGACTGGAGTGACAGGACAAGGGGTAAGGGGTTCAAACTCAAACAGGGGAAGTTTAGATTGGATCTAAAGAGGAAATTCTTTCCTGTTAGGGTGGTGAGGCACTGGAATGGGTTGCCCAGGGAGGTTGTGAATGCTCCACCCCTGGCAGTGTTCAAGACCAGGTTGGACGAGGCCTTGGGTGAGATGGTTTAGTGTGGGGTGTCCCTGCCCACAGCAGGGGGGTTGGAACTGGATGATCTTAAGGTCCTTTCCAGCCCTAACTATTCTATGATTCTATAAGTAGATTTTAAGAGAAATCAAATAAATGCTCAGTGTGGTGTCATTGTGCTCCACTCCTTGCACTGCAACTCCCCTTTCTGGTCTTAGCTGCTTTCATTTTCCTCTTTAGAGATAAAGGACAAGAACAGTTCTACAGGCAAGAACTATGTTCTATAGTTCTATAGGCAAGAACTATGTTCTATAGTTCTATAGGCAAGGATATGAGGGAAAAGGCACAGGAAATGCTTGGAAGTTCCTTTATTGCCACCCAACAAGACAAAACGCACAGACCCAACCAGGGCTTTATAAATCCTCAAGAACAAACTCACCTGAGGGCTTACCCCGTCACAGGAGGTGCACGGCAGTCATTCACACCCAAACATGGTGCTCACCCGCTGGCCTCGGGCGGCTCCTGCCCACAGAGGGGCATTACCTGTGGGCGATTCGGGGGTTCAGGCTTTACCTTTGCAGATCCAAGTGCTTTTGACCGGACTCACCCCTAAATACACCCCCAAGAGACCGTGAAGCCAGAAAGGCTCCAGCAGAGGCGCAGCACCGCTCGCTGTGGCTCCCGGCACGGGCACCCCCTCACGGTTAAGGTGAGGGAGCTCATCTGATGTACAACACAAGCCTAAAGCGCGGCAGGGCCCTGGAACCGATCGGCAGCCACCCGCAGCCAGGGCTTCCCACAGCCGGCACCGGAGCCACGGGGCACCCACAGCGGGGCTCCAAGGCACGGCCCCTGCCCAAGCCACGCGCAGAGCGGCCGGCAGAGCCCCCCCGGCCCCCCTCGCAGCCCCGCAGGCCTCACCTCGTCCCGCCGGGGCCCGGGCGGCTCCGTCGCCTCAGGCCGAGGCCCAGCGCCCCGTTGCCCGGCAGCCTCCCCCTGTATCCGCGCTGCGGGTCCGCCCGGCAACCCGCACCGCCGCGTTCGTTCCGTTCGCTCGCTCGCTCCCTCACCCACCAGCTCCGCGCAGGGAAACCCGCGGCTCTGAGTCTCGCTGATGCCGGGAGCCGAGCCGAGCCGAGCCGAGCCGGGCCAAGCCCGTGATGCGGAAGCGCAGCGCGGCGCCGCCCGGAGGAGGCTGAGGGGACATCGGAAGGCTTTGGCGGCGCACCCGGGCGGGGCCGGAAGTGGCGCGAGAGGCGGAAGTTCCCCCGCCCCGGCGCTCCCGCTCGCTCGGTCCGTGGGGCTGCGCCGCGCCGTTCATGGTGAGGGGGGGCCGGGGGGCAGCGGGGGGCAGCGGGGGGCAGCGGGGGCTGGGGGCAGGCAGGAGATGGGGACCCGGCCCCCCGGTGGGTGACGGGGTGCGGGGGTCTCAGTCCCCAGGGCCGCGGTGCTGGTGAAGGGGGGGGGGGCGCTTGGAGAGCGGGTGCAGGGCTGCTGTGGGGGGGATCCGGCCCCCCAGCTGTGGGGTGGGGTGGAGGGGGAGCACTGGTGTGGTTGTCACTGTCAGCCCAGGACGGCGCCTGGGGATGGGGGCTCTGTGCCCCAGGGTGCTGGGCTGTGGCCTGGTGCGCTGGGGCTCCTGTCAGGGTGATGGGGACCGGTCCCTATGGCTGGAGGGAGCTGGAGCCGGAGCTTGGCGCCTTTGCACTGCAGGCGGCTCCCCTGTGGGCACCGCTGCCCGTGCCACTTCCTCGCCGTGTGAAGCACAAGGCGCCCGCGGAGCTGCGGCTCCGTCACGTTTGCTACGGGATCGTCCTGCTTTAAGTGACAGCAGGGCCCAAAGCACTCAGCGTGCTGCGGAGGTGGCAGGGCCCGGGGCCACCCCCTCACCCTGACACCAGAACCGTTAACAGTTAATGGCTTGATTAAGGATTTATGGTTAGCGGCTCTCAGAGCATTTGTGGGGCTAAGCCAGCAGGGCTCCTGTTACAGCCCGTGAGCTCATTAGCTGACTAACCGGGAGTGACCGGGCACTGTGGGCAGAGGTAGTGGGGATGTGGGACATTGGGTTTTGGTGTCCTAAGGAGGGAAGGGAGTGGGAAGCCCGTGTGTGCTTTAAGGGAATAGAGCTGTGGATAGGCTGTATTTTAACACACAGGAATCGTCCGCTCAAGCTCTGGGTGTTGGGAATTGCTCAGTTACCAGATTATTGGTTAAGGAAGAGCTTAAGGTGTAGAAGCTGTGGAAGAAACGAACACAGTCTTTGTGGGAAGGCACTGGCTGTTGCGGTGTGAAATGCTGCTCAGTGTTCACAGGGTTCCTCAGTGGCCAGGGTCATGTATGGTCTTTGGTCAGAACAAAGACCAAGTCTAAAACACTTGAGGAGTTCAGAGAGCAGCTGAGGCTGATGATGCTCTGTGTAAATAACCCCCAGTGACGTGAGCAGGGTGGTGCGTGTCGGGGCTGCCCGTGTAACCGCTCCCTCCTTCCTTGCAGGAAGAGATGTCGGGAGAAAGCGTGGTGAGCTCAGCAGTGCCAGCGGCGGCCACTCGCACCACCTCCTTCAAAGGCACCAGCCCCAGCTCCAAGTATGTGAAGCTCAACATTGGCGGTGCCCTCTACTACACCACCATGCAGACCCTGACCAAGCAGGACACCATGCTCAAGGCCATGTTCAGTGGCCGGATGGAAGTCCTCACCGACAGCGAAGGTAAGGGGCTGCCCTCGTGTCCTCGTGCTGGTTTCCTTCCCCTGCAGTGGAAAGAGCTCAGAAGAGGTTGGAAAAAAGTGTTAGAGAATGGAGAGGAGCATGTAGTTGTAGGCCTAGGTGTTTCTGTGGTTTGTAAGTCCTAAAGCTGAGCTTATACATCTGAGAAAAGGTGTGGAACAAAAAGGCTCGTGTGACTTGGGAGGAGTCATACGGAGACCAAAGGGAGACCTTACAGCAGTCTTCCAATGCTTAAAGGGGCTACAAGAAACCTGGAGAAGGGCTTTGGGAAAGGGCCTGTAGGGACAGGCCAAGGGGAATGGCTTGAACCTGCCAGAGGGGAGACTGAGATGAGCTCTGAGGCAGAAGCTTTCCCCTGGGAGGGTGCTGAGGCGCTGGCACAGGGTGCCCAGAGGAGCTGTGGCTGCCCCATCCCTGGCAGTGCTCAAGGCCAGGTTGGACACAGTGGCTTGGACCAGTGGAAGGGGTCCCTGCCCGTGGCAGGGTTGGAGCTGGGTGAGCTTTAAGGTCCCTTCCAAGCCAAACCAGGCTGGAATTCTATGAGTTGAATAGTTGTCTGGACAGCAGAAGGACAGTACCAAGTCCCAAGGCTCCTATCAGGCCCAGATAGTATGGGCTGTGCTTTTGGAACACTGACACTGAAGCTCTCAAGCGTATGGAAGATGGTGGGAGAGAGATTAAGAAGCTATGAGTGAGTCAGGGCTTGGGTATTTACATTGAAGCCCAGGAGGCAGTTCTCTTATCTTGTTCCCTTACCTCAAATCTACGTATAAAACGTGCTCTGAACACTGGGACCCTGGTTTAAAAGCTAAAAGCTGATATTTTGGAAATGAAATGGTTTTCTTATGAGAGTATGGATTGTTTCCTTCAGTGCAACAGAGCCAGAAACGTGCTGTTGTACTAGTGACAATCAAAGGAGAGAGCTGGCGAATGGCTCTCTCCATGTTAAATGTGTCTGGAAAGTAGGAACGTGCAGGATGTCAAACAACAGCCTTCTCAAGGAGCAGTGCCTGAACACTTCCTTACCAGATACACTGATTTTATCTTCTGATGATCTGAGATTCTTGAAAACATTTGAACTAATGCTATAGCTAAAACGTGTGTGTGATGAGTGCAGCTGGGAGCAGAGGTTCAGAGCAGCGTCCTCATGTTGTGGGAGTGTCACAGTTTAACTGGAAGCACAGCTGATGGGCTTGGCTACCCTGTCTGTAAGGATGGCTGGGAGTTGGGGACCTCTCCCCCTGCTGCTCAACCTCAGGCACTTGCCAAGCAGCAATTCCAAGTGAATTGAGGAAGCCCACCCTGGCGTGGTCCCGGCCCTTCCTCCGGGCGTCCTGGGTAGGTACCCCAGGAGGGCTGGTACATCCCGTCCCATTCCCAAGGCTGTAAGCTCAGGTCGGCTTGCTGGAGAGCAGCTGACAGAATCACTGCTGATGTGAGGGTAGCTGGAGTTTAAAGTGCTAAAATCTCGTACTCAAGGCAGCAAATCCCAAGTTGATTTTGCTCTGGATCCCACAGTGTCCGTGTGGGATTGCTCCGTTCTGCCAGTCTGTGTTTTAATAGGAATTTGATACTTCCTGTCTGTTGTAACTGAGACACTCCCATTGCAGCAGACCTTGCTTTATCTCCCCGGCCTGGTGTGACACTGGAAACTGGGACAATGGTATTGGAGCTGTTAAAGGAAACCCTTTTTATCTGAACTCCTTCAAAACAACCCCCGTTGGGCACACCCAGAGCCTGGCCCAAACACAGTGGTTCTGAGGAAAAGAGCTGAAGCTGGAAGGAGGCAACTTTTGAACCAGCCTCTGGAATGGGTCATGAGGGCTCCTCTTGGTTCAGATGCATTCTCCTGAGCCCAGCACCATCTCAGAGCTTAACAACTGCAGCCGGGAGACAGGAAAGCCTTTGAGTTCTCTCTGGTGGTGGGCGAGTGGTTGCAGCTTAGAAATGGTCCATGAGCTGTGGCACATTGTCATATTTGACCATCTTATGGTAAAGAGCAGAGAGAAGGGGGTAAGTTTTCCAGGTGCATCCCTTTCTTTCCAGGTTTCTTTTCTGCAGTGTGGCTGTTTCCCTCTCTTAGCTGTTGATCAACTGATGGAGGTGCATGTTTTTATCCAGCTCCCAGTAAGACTTGAGCATCAGGCAGGCTCCATTGTCAGGCTTCAGTGTCAGGCTGCTGTTTCATCTGTCAAAGCTTAGCCAGAAAATGCAGCCTGGTTCCATTTGAGTGTTTGGATGCTGTCCCTGAGACTTGTTGTAAAACAAGAGATGAATTCCTACTGTGAGGAGGTACCAGTTCAGGGGTTCCTCCCTCGGTAAATGGATCACAGGGCACTTCTGTAATGCTACCATTAAAATAGCTTCAAAGGACTCTAATTGAAACCCACTTCTTGGGCTCTGCACAGCCGTGGCTGAGTGGGACAGGGTCATTTCCCTGTGACTCATAGGATCATAGAATAGTTTGGGTTGGAAAGGACCTTAAGATCATCCAGTTCCAGCCCCCCTGCCATGGGCAGGGACACCTCACACTAAACCATCTCACCCAAGGCTTCATCCAGCCTGGCCTTGAACACTGCCAGGGATGGAGCATTCACAACCTCCCTGGGCAACCCATTCCAGTGCCTCACCACCCTCACAGGAAAGAATTTCCTCCTTATAGCCAACCTAAACTTCCCCTGTTTCAGTTTTAACCCGTTCCCCCTTGTCCTGTCACTGCAGTCCCTAATGAAGAGTCCCTCCCCAACATCCCTATAGCCCCCCTTCAGACACTGGAAGGCTGCTCTGAGGTCTAAGTCCTTGTGCTTTGGCTGTTTGGTTAAAACAGGAGGGCTTGAGCCACCCCTTGTACCTCGCAGTGCTGCTGGAAGTGTTTCCTCATCTCCAGGTGAAAATGAGCAATTCCTCCTCGGTTTCACCATCTGTAAACAGAAAGCTCCAGCAGGTTTTTACAGCCTGCAAAGGGAATCACAGTGGAGATAACAGAGAAGTTCGGGGATCAGAGCTGTGCTCCTGCCCTGCCCTTTACCTTCCTGCACGTTGACGAGCCAGCTCTGTCACCGCTGCAGTTGTGGAGTGGGGATGTCCTTGGTTATTAGCATGTCTGGTGCTCCCTCTTCTCCTTAAAACGGGAGATCTCACTTTCCACATGTCTGCACTGACAAATGGGCTGTTCCTGCTCTGGCTGGCCACATAGAGCCTGGATCAGTCTCTTGTTCTTTGATTTCTGTCTCTAGTTCTCCTGCCTCCAGCTTTCTAGTCTGCAGTTGTGAGCATGCTGTGTTTGAGGTAGCAGCACAACGATGGAGATGGGAAGCCTGTAGTAAACTGCTCTTGGGTGCCTCGGTTTTCCACAGCAAAGGGCCGCATTCCCTTTCGAATTGCACCAAATGTTCAGCCTTTACCAGCGATTCCATTCATGCAGAACACACAGGGGCTGCTTTAACCTACTTTCCTTATTTGTCCAAAATATGAGTCTCTCCCCACAAGCGTTTCCTCGCTGCATTCCTGAGCTGCAGCCTGGAAGAGCGGCCATCTGTTCATTTATGGAAACTGGAGCCTCAGCATCGCCTCCCATTGCTCAGGGTCCAGCCTGGTCGGGCAGCAGATGGGGGACAAGAGGCGAAGCTCAGCTCCTGGGTCACCGGTTGACTGGGAAGGACTTTGGTGGCAGCTCTGTCTCCTTTCCTTCACGCCGTTGTCAGCACGTAGCTGTACTTCAGATTCCACTTACTGTCTTGCAGCAGTTGATGTTGTGCTGATAACCCGTGTGTTCTACCCAAGTCAGTGTGCTCTGGGGGTATGCAGTGTTTGCCATGATGCTGCCCAGTCTGCACTGCCTTTCTCCTGCCAACCTTCCTGCACATCCACTGCATCACAGGGGGTTCTTGTGCTGTTTTCAGGTGCAAGAAGCTTTAGATGGTCAAATCTAGCTGGCTTTAGTGAGGAACAGCCCCGTGTGTGTCACAGGGCCCTACGATAGAAGGCAAGAAAATAACGTGTCAGGGCTTTGGGATAGAGGGAGAGCAGGGTTGGTTGGTTTGAGAATGAGAAGTATTTGTTCCTCTGTTTCAGTTAATGGTTGTCAATAACTGGGGAGCTATGAGAAACAAGAGAACTTCCCACCTTACTCCCCCATGCTCTGCACTGGAAATGCAGGAGGAAGAGGTATATTCCCTGGGCTCTCTGCTGCTCCGCTCCCCAGCTCAAGCAAGGAGCTGGAGTTTCTCCCTCTTGGCAGGATCCTGCTTGGTGTCAAGGCCTTTAGCCATGTTTGCCTCTGCTTCTCCTTCCTGTGCCCTTGCTCTGTCCCCAGGCTGGATCCTCATCGACCGCTGTGGCAAACACTTTGGGACCATCCTGAACTACCTGCGGGACGGGGCTGTGCCACTGCCGGAGAGCCGCAGGGAGATCGAGGAGCTCTTGGCTGAGGCAAAGTACTACCTGGTGCAGGGGCTGGTGGACGAGTGCCAAGCAGCCCTGCAGGTAGGTCACAGAGCTAAGGGGGTTCCTGTGGCCTGCAGCGAGGGGTCCACAAGAGGAGGCAGCGTCTGGGCAGAGCGAGATTCTCTGCTGGTCTCCGCTTTGGTGCCTTTCGGAGGCTGGGATGGAATGGAAATGGTTCACGTTGTTGAGCTGCTGGAGGCTGGTCCCATCCAGAAAGATGTCCCAGTGTTTAGTGCTGCCCACTCACAGGGATAAAGAGCTGCTCAGCTCCCTCCTCTGAGAGCATTCAGGGAGCAGCAGCCTGGTTCCTTTGCACTGTTCTTCGCTGCCATCAGGGTCTTACATGGCTAAATGATCCGCCATCAGCACAAGCACACTGACATCCTCAGCACAGACCACACAGGACCTTCCCAGTTCATAGGACCGTGCCTTAAGGTCTGTTTAATGTTCAGCTGCTGTTTGCTTCTTGTTTCAGCAGAACAAAGATGCATATGAACCGTTCTGCAAGGTACCAGTCATCACGTCCTCCAAAGAAGAGCAAAAACTCATAGCCACTTCCAACAAGGTAGGAGCCAGGCTGCACCCTGGGTTGGGAGGGTGAGAATGAGCAGTGATGTAGCCACAGAGGGGTTGCAGCCCCACTGCCAACCTGTGCATGGCAGTTGTGCACCAACAACAGTAACAACAGCTGGGCTTGGGCCTGATGGTGTCACATCCTATTGTAGCTTCTCTGCTGCGGGGTCTGGGTCGGCATTCCAGCTCTTCCTGTACTGCCTGTAACCGATCCATGGTTTGTGTTTTACAGCCAGCAGTGAAGCTGCTCTATAACAGAAGCAACAACAAATATTCCTACACCAGGTAAGTGGCTTCTGCTGCACTTGTTTGAAGTTTTAATAGACTAAAACCCATGACAAGCATTTGCTTTCTCTTCACTCGGAACCAATGACAGATTGCTGCTGGCATGCACTCAGGTTTTTCCCTATTAATTTCAACCTTCAGTCAGAAGGGAGTTTGCTGTCATCAATGGAAGGTTATTTCTGTGCCAGAGGAGTTCCTCTCATACTTCAGTGCAGCTGGCAGAGGCTCCTGGCCAGCTGCTGGCCTGCATTCCCCATGGGCTGCAGCACGTTCCTTGAATGCAGGAAGCTTTCTTGCTGCAGTGTTCTCAGTAAGTGGTGAAATCAAGCCCGGGACCTTGTCTCCTTTCCTTATTCTGTGTATGTTCCATGATACAACGCTGTTCCCGTCCAGCTGGTGCTGAGCTTGAGCTTAGGATTGGTTTTATTTGGGCGATACAATCTTTACACCAACTAAATGGTCCTGGGCAATATTATTCCCAGTACTGCTGATGTATTACTGCTTCTTCAGCAGCAGGTTTTCCTGCTTGTGCTAAAGCGGGTAAGTAAGTTACCCACTGCAGGGCTGGATGCCAGCTGTAAGCACTGCCTTGGCAGAGACACAGCGAGCTCAAGGGGACTGCTCACTGCCTGAGCCCCGTTGTGTTCCGTGTGCTGCCTTCGTTCCCTTGACGTGACCGACGTCTGCCTTCATCCCTTGCAGCAACTCGGATGACAACATGCTGAAGAACATCGAGCTCTTTGACAAGCTGTCCTTGCGGTTTAATGGGAGGGTGCTCTTCATAAAGGATGTGATTGGAGATGAGATCTGCTGCTGGTCTTTCTACGGGCAGGGGCGGAAGATCGCCGAAGTCTGCTGCACTTCCATCGTCTATGCTACTGAGAAGAAACAGACAAAGGTAAGAGCAAAGCCCTGGATGCTTCCAGCAAGGGGCTGCTGGCAGCGGCACCCTGACATCAGCTCTGCTCTGAGCACTCCTTTCTTTGTTGAGCCTCTCTGCAGAATAATCACTGCCATTCAAAGTGGTCCTGGTCCAGGGGGTGCATCGGAGTGAACGCCGCTTCCCTGCGGCACTTACACAGGGTGATTATGGTATCCTGTAGCTCAGGTTCGATCCCGTTCTTTATGTGCAGGCAAACTTGTGCGTTTAGCTGGGTTTGGTTGACATCCCTGTGTAAAGACAGGTCCTGGTGAGCAGCGACGTGACTTCCCCGTGCTGCCTTACCTTCCTGCCCTGAAAACCACCCCGTTTGCTGGCTCGGAAGCCAAGAACAGAACAGAAACGATTGCACTGGGAAAGATTCCCGTGCCCAGGGTGCAGTGAGGAGCCTTTAAGACCAGAAAGGCACCAGGGATTAAACCTGAGGTAGCCTGGTGCCCGCAGCCATCGCAGCGGGTGCGAGTGACGCTCTCTTTGCGGGGTGGGCAGGTGGAGTTCCCGGAAGCCCGCATCTACGAGGAGACGCTGAACATCCTGCTCTACGAGTCGCAGGACGGGAGGGGACCCGACAACGCGCTGCTGGAGGCCACGGGGGGGGCTGCGGGGCGCTCCCATCACCTGGAGGAGGACGAGGAGCGGGAGCGCATCGAGCGCGTGCGGAGGATTCACATCAAGCGCCCGGACGACAGGGCCCATCTGCACCAGTGACTGCTGCGGCGCTGCCCGGGAGCGCTGCCCCTCCTCTGCTCCAGCTCCCGCAGCACGGGAGCAGCGCTTCCCCTCGCGCTCAACGCGGGCTGTACATTACGTTTTGTAACAAACTAGGTTATGTTGGGGGTATTTAAATGCAGTAGTTGTAGGGCAAGGATCGAGGAGGTGACTGGGCAGCCCATAGATACGGTAAGGACCTGTTGAGCAGCTGGAGAAATGCCCTGAACTTACAGCACTCTTGTCTTTGCTATAGAGAGGAAGGGGGCTGGCTTCAGTAGCTATCCTGCACTTTAAACCATAGAGTCAGCCACACAGCTCCCCTCTAGGCACTCCCTGACCCTCTCTCTCCTCCCAGGCAGAGAACTGGGGTGATCTGAACACACCTGAGCTGCTGCAGAGCTCCCTTCTCCCTGTACCAATAGGGTTGGTGGCTCAGTGACTCCCAGGAGGACACGGGACATGTGCTGACTTGATTCCTATAGTGCTGGGGAGCTGCTCCTCCAAGGGTTCAGTGGAGCTTCTACAGCTCTGAGCTCTTTATCCCTTCTCTTCTTTATCTGAATGGTTCAAGGGTGGAAGATGTTCAGATTCCTCCAGAAGGAGGCTCGGGAGCAAACTGCATGGGATTGCTTTTCCTTAGGGTGGTGTTGACACCAGTGAGTGCTCAGAACTTCTGCCTGACCCTGGCTCTCAGCTCACAGCTCAGTGAGCTGAGCTTCCCTTATTGCAGCTAAGGCAGGAGCTGGGTTCAGAGCCCCTGTGCCAGCCCAGCATAGGCAGGAGCTATAGCTCAGTGCTGTAACTGATGCAGGAGCACTGTCTTGCTCTGAGTAAGGACAACACAAGTACTATGGGGACGAGGAGTAGAGTGGCCCAGAGGCAGTTAGTTCTTATCTGACTTACCCTGAGCACGTCCCAAGTCTCTTCAGAACCGGCAGCTGTGGGGAAGGGCAGAGCTGAAGTGGGTGCAGGAGCCCTCTGCGGTCCAGCTTTTTCTAAGAGTACTTTTCTATTATGAATGAATGTTTTATCTACCTCCTCATCTCTTGTTGCCTATCATGGACTCAAGTAACAGTTCCAGCAGAGGATGGTGTGCTACTCAATAGGACTGGATGCTGGAGGCTAATGCGCAGAGCCACAGCTATAATGCTTGATGAGAGGGAGGGAAACCCAATGTAGGAAGTCTTAAACTTCAGACTGGTAACTTGACAGCCACCAGAGGACTTTGGCCTGTTCTGGAAGGGTTTTGACCCTTCATGTGGAATATCTCATGCTGGGGTTAATGGCCAGACATCTCCTATGGAGCAGCAGCTCCATGTCCCTGTTCCTCAGTGATGGGGTTACATGGTTTTGTTATCTTCCTGCTGCAAGGATTCCAGCTCCTGGCTCAGGGCTGTTAATGGCACATTAACCTGTTAAAAACCAAAGGTGTTGCCAGCATCACCAGCTGCGTTACTCCAGTGTGTTTCAAAGAGCAGTTACACCCCAAACTCAGTCTAGCTTGGCTGTAGAGGCTAAAATAAAGTATTAAGTGTTTGCTTAGGGGTACAGTTTTGAGTCAAGTTAAGCTGAAATGATTTCAAAGTTAGGCTGAGGTCATCGGTCTGGTAACCAAAGACTTCTCTAAGCTACATGCAGATGGGGTTGTTGTACCCCTCTCCTCTCCCCTTTCTTCTTCAGAAATTGCTTCCCAAGAGCTCAGCAGTTAATGTGTAGTTCCACAGCTTCAGCTCTGTCCTGACGGTTACGGGCTTCTTTTGCAGGCTGTCCTTGCACGTGGTTGCAGAAGTCCATAGTGCAGTGGTGTTGTGAAGGACCCAGTGCCTCTCCCTTCTTCCCTTCCTGATGTGATAAGCTGGGGGGTGTGGAAGGAGAAGGCCCCCGAATTGCTCTGCTTTTCCAGGTCTCTGTACTTTGATCCTCACTGGCTGGTGCTGGGCTGGGCATGGGGTTGAGGGTCTGTAACAGACCCAGTGCCCTGGAAGGGTCCAGACCCTGCGCTGGCTGAAGCTGCTCAGTGTGACTGCTGTGTCTCAGCCGTTCCCTGTAGCCCTGCTGCAAACCCTGCTCCCTTTGCTCACCCCACAGAGCTGGCTCTCCTGTGGGACAGGCCGGGCCGCCCCATCCTCAGCTGTGCTGAGCTGCCTGCTTCCAACACAGCACCCCCACACTGGCTGCTCAGACCAAACCCAGTCACATCCTGCAGCACGGGAGCAGGTTCAGCTCCAGGAGGTGACACCAGTGCTAAGCATCCGTCAGGTCCCAGCTCTGTGATTAACCTCTCTGTAAATAGGTTCTTAACTGGCTTCAGGAGTTCCTCGTTCAGGTTCTGCAGAAACCAGGGGATGATTCTGTTTGCTCCTTGTACAGCAGTTACAGAGCTGGGGTTCACTCACTCCAGGGGAGTTGGAGTAGTTTCAGGTTTGTTACTGCACTTATGGGCAGGCTCTGCCTTAACCCTCCACGTGCTGTAGTTGTGTCCTCTGTCACCTTCGACCATCCTTTACCTGCTGGCCACTCGTCCTCAGGCTGTGGAGGGAGACTTTGTTAATGGCATTGCACAAATGCTCTCAGCTCTTGAGCCTTTTGACTGTAAATGGTTTTGCCTCCACAGCTTCCAGGTGAAGGTGGGTGCAGGGCTGAGGTCCTGGCCATGAGCAGCCCTGGATCATCTGGTACTGCCACAGGTAACAGGGAGCACAGCCCTGCCTGCTTTGGTTCTCCAGCCCCAGACACCAATAGTGACAGCACAGCAGTGTAGGGTGACTCAAGTCTTCTGTGTGGAAGTGATTTTGTCCAGCAGCAGCTTTAACCCTGGGTTCAATCTCCCATCAGGGTGTTCACTCCCACCTGTATCCACGTAGCTGTAGCACCAGTCTTACCTTAGAGCAAAGGGCAGGTAGATCCTTTCAGTCTTAATGGAGTTGTTCCGTCTCTCAGACAACAGCAGCAAATTCCTCTGTTCTGTACAATCATTCCCTCCTACTTTATACTTATGCACAGGAAAAGCTTCAGCTGCAGCTCAGTTTATGGTTGATGTTTGCAATATGTACTTTTTTTTTTAATGTAACACAATAAATTAGAAGATATTTCATATTTACATGGGGGTCACTTTATTGCTTGTCTGAAGCTGGCCTTGGGGTCCATGGAGCTGAAAGAAACAGCAGACATCATCCTCCCCCTGGTTTAGTTTGACCTCCCAGCAGAGAGCTGGGACTCTGCAGAGCCCAGGATGTGCAGGCTCTCAAAGTGCAGTTCCAGCCCAGGCAGTGCCAGAGCAGGAACTGCACCAGTTTGCCCCAACACGAAACAGCAGTGGAACAGCTTCCAAGTGGGAGGTGCAGAGAATTCCCACTTCCACCCCTCCCCTTGGCCACCTCAAGGGGACAGCAGTGCTAAAGGCTTTACCAGCCTGCCCCAGAGAAAAGGTGGTTTCAGACCAGAGTTGAGGCACTTCTGGTGAGCTAAGACTCAAGCACAGCCAGAGAAGCCTTCCTGCTCCTGTGTTAACCCTTCCTGACTGGGCAGAGCTCTCACCTCGTACTCAGTGCCTAGAGATGGACATTTTACATGTGGAACTGCAGCTTTCAGTTCCAGTGCCTCCCTGTAATTTTGTAATGAGCACCTTTGCTCACTGGAATGTTACAGCGAGATAACATCATTTATTTAGCTATATCAAATAGCTTTAAGCTATAAAAAAGAGCCTAAAAGATGCAAGCAAACTCAAATCACAGCAGCCCTGTGGCATCACAGATCCCAGGGCAGGTGTGAGTGCTGGTCTCATCCTGCAGGCTCCTTTCTGCCCCTGGCCAAGACAGCAACCAGGAACAGGGACTGTTGCTCATCAAGACTTTGCCTGGGTTGACACCTGGATGAGAAAAGGAAGGAGTCATCAGATGAGGTACAAGTGTGATGCCCTTGAGATGTCCTGGCTCTGGGAAAAGAGGCTGTGTGGTTTCTGTTCAGCAGCTGGCATGTAAAGTTACCCCCTTCATCTCCAGGCTGCAAGGACAGCTAATAGGTACCCCAAGGGGATTACATGGCCATGTGCAATTCCTCCATGGAGCTGTCAGCTAGCAGCATCACACACACTAAGCCCAGCAGTGAAGCACAAAGAATCACACCTTCCCCTGTTCCTCTGCCCATGCTAGCTGGAGAAAGCAAGCAGCAAGGTGCAAGGTGCAGTTCCCAATGCAGCCATGACCATCTATTACATGTTATCTTCCATAGGTAAGTACTAACTGAGTAGTTACATCATGCACCTCTGCTCTGCAAGATGAATCCAGTCCTCCTGAACTCACCCAAAGGGCCCTTGCTGGAACCGAGCTGTGCTTTCTACAGGGGTTGAGCAGAGGAGAAAGCCCAAGTCACATTCCCAGGGCTTGGCTGAGGCCTTACCACTGTCAGTTGTCCAGTTTTGGCTTTGAAGACCTGAGACTCCTGCCCCACACTGAACACCATCGTCCCTTCCTTCCCTGAGCCAATGCGGAACTGAAGGCTGCAAATACAGGCAGAAGTACTCACTAGATGCTTTCCCTGCAATAGGCTTTACTCTTTATTTCTGTTCCCTTGGCAAAGCTCCTTAGATCAGAAGATCTGAGCCCTCCAGCTTACGTAGATTTCCTAACCAATTGCATTATAGCACCCGAGCCAGCAGGGTTGGATGAATGGAGCATCCTGCCTGCGCCAGGCATTTGAATTCTCCTGGAGCAATTAAGCACTAGAAGATAAGCAGATCTGACCTGGAGAAAGCCACTGAACACACACAATCTAATTACAACTGAAATGCAAAGGGCAGAGAGGAAAGCTGGAGCAGGAGCCCGGTTTCATGTGCCATTCTCAATTCAGGCAGAGATTTGAGAGACAGACTGCATCCACCTGCCCTTAGCTTGGTGGTGTGACCGAGAGGGGCCTGTGCTCCAATGTCACATTTCAGGGCCTTCTCAAGCTGCCAGGGAGAGGAGCATTTATCCTGAAGTGACCCAGGCTTTTCTCAGGCCGTGCTAATGGGATCTGCTGTAAAACCACTAAACCACAACCTCAGCCCCAGGTCACGGCGGCAGAAGCCTGGAAAAAAAAAGGGGTTTTAAACTACAGGCACCTATGATCAAGTTGATGTTTTAGGCAGTTGGGTCATGGGCAGCTGCTAGGGCAGAGCAGCACCAGCAAGGTGCAACCACAACCAGCATAGAAGGAAGCTTCATCAGCATGGGACAGCCACAGCCTCTCTGGGCACCCTGTGCCAGTGCCTCAGCACCCTCACAGGGAAGAGCTTCTGCGTAAGAGCTCATCTCAGTCTCCCCTCTGGCAGGTTAAAGCCATTCCTCTGTTTGATTCAGCCCACAATGATCAGCTCAGGGCACTATCTGCTGTGAATAGGTTTGACTTAAGTAGTCCAGCCCAGGCTCTTCCCTAAAACCCACCCTGCAGGACACTGCCCATTGCACTGCCTTCCTTACCTTCCCTGTGCAACTTTAACGAGGTTTTGCTTATTGGCCAGCATGCAGAGCTTCGTGACCGTCTCAAAGACGTGCTCACACTGAAGGATCACATCTCCCTGGAACAAGAAAGAGGCACGAAGTCATCAGGTATTGCCCAGCACGTAAGGCACCCAGCAGCTGTGCAGAGAAACTCCTTTTAATGCTGGAGCAGTGGCTGCTGCACAGAAGAGACAAATACCTACCCAGCAA